TCTGTTTTATTCGAGGGCAAATTTGCAAGTTTTGAGCACAGTCGATAAACGCTTGGGTCATTTGTTGTTGCTTGTATCCGACGTCATCCACACGGAGTGAAGAAGAACAGAACGAGGGAATGAGAATAACAATTGTAGCCGCTTTGCGGCAGAGCCCACGAACTGATAGTGGAAGAGGAAGAGGGCAGATTGAAACTCTGACATCGGACGATTCTGGACTTAGGTGCGCACGGACCCGCGTTCTGAGTCCGACAAGACCAGTTACGCTTGAGTGCGTCAGCGGACGGGACATGTGGTAAAAATAACAATTTTTCTCGATGTAATACTGTTCTGCCTCATTTTGCCTCAATGCCTCGATTTACCTCCGTCTTGCTCGATCTGTCTAGCGGGGATTCTCACTGGGGATCAACCGCGAACATATTTTTTTCGTTCAATTCTACAAGTTGTTTTGGATGCTCATTGGTCGGATCCAGAAAAGATTGAATAATAAAATACCAACATAATTCATCGTGTGCAGCCTGAAGAAGTGAATGTAGGTTGCCAAGTACACTGGCAATATCAATATTGAGGAGTAATACAACTTGTTTCTCTGGTTGCTACCAACTGTACTTGTCACTGGATATTCGATTCTTCGAATAAGCAGCATGCAAAGGCGAAACGAGAACAGCGTTTGGCTCGGTCATGGGGAAGGAGAAAAGTCACGAAAAACGGATGCAGCATCGACTCGACCCCGAGTCGAACGGGGAGCTTCTGCGTAAGGACAGACAAACTTTTCTATTTTTGGATGGCAGATGGGACGTCCGCCATCGGGTCTTGCAATTGTCAACAGTCGATGAGCGCGCAATACAAGGTGCAGTATAGGTTGCCCGAGTAAAGTCTGAAAATGTTAATTGTGGATATAGCCCGAATGCAAGGAGACTCAGGTTTTTGCGGGAATAGGAAGATGGCCGCAGCAGGAGAGGAATAATATTTCGGCGAGCATGGAGCCGTTAGACTGATAAATAGGGCGGTCAATGGATACCATTTTGAAACGTGTAACTCTGACGGCAGGATGAACCAGACCCGAGGCTGCATCAATGAAGGGCAACCCAGTGTTAGACCAAATTGGTTGAAGACCGATTAAATCCGACGAACTTTGGGCCGGAAACCCTGGGCAATTTGGGCTGTTTCCCACCGATTTGAAGCCCTTGGAATGACCGATTTTTCGAGGATCTGCACCAGCGGTGAAGAGAAGCACAAATGTAACTAGTGTACAGTGCTCCCTAGTAATGCCATTTTCGTTCCATGTAAATGGGTGTAAGGACGTGTGCGACAATGCTCTTTCCTTTGGATTTCGGCCCAAAATAGTAAAGCCGCATTGATGGCGACTCTTAGCAAAAAGAGGGAAAAAGAATCCTAATAGCCCACTGCGAGGGTCGCAGCTAGACGGGCATCCACCGTGATCGATCCGGCAGTTTTGTATTTATTTGGCTCGCAGGAGCAGGCGGTTCCAGTTTTGTAAACCCTAAGGCTTTTCACCTGCCCTCAAACTGAGTTAGCACATGTCTAGTGCCATGGAATGGTTCTCTGGAAAATTTCGATGCGGCTCATCAGGTGAGAAGATTACATAAGCTCATGCCAAAGTCGTTTTGCTTCCACAACAGGCTTCCGAGCACATTTCGAAATCCTGAGGTGACAGAAATGTAGGCACAGGCTACTAGTAGTGTTGCCGGGGTTTGGGTAGGTTCGGTTTTTTCAAAATTTTCCGAACCCTGAACCGAACCCACACCGAACCCGGGGTTCGGTTCTTATGGGTTCAGTCCAGGTTCAGAACCGGTTCGAACCCCAACGAACCTGTAAATTTCCGAAAAAAGACTGGTGGGTTCCTGGAACTTTGCAAGAGGTCCTATCAGATGTACAGTGCATAGTATGCAGTTGGATCACACAGAGTGCTGATAAGCATGTCGCCCTCCTGACTGATATCAATGCACGCACTGGTTCGTTGCAATCAAGAACGGAGTGAGCCAAGCATTAGGAAAGAATATCAGTGGACTTAGATATCAAAGTCAATTCATGCGGCCGTGCAGTTATACACGAGTGCGGGCTCCATGGATTGTGTACCTTGAACGGTATATCATGCTCCCCTGGCCGTATGACCTCCTGGCAAAGTGCCGGCGAGTCCGTGATTGACTATGCTATGGTATCGGAAAGCCTACTGCCTTTTCTCCGTAAATCTGAGGTCGCGTGCCCTGCTCCCATCGAAGATGATGATTGGGCAGATCATATGCGGATTTGCATTACACTAGATGCTACTTATTCACAAAAACACCGATAGTGGTCCAGAATTGGAACACCAGATCAAACTTCGGAGGTTCTGCATGCATCGACCAGCTCTATCAGGCCACTATGGATGGTAATCAGACACACAATGAAGCACTGGACTCGTTGTGGGGACGCACATTCATACATACCCAGCCGATACATATTTATGTTGAGGGCACCGTTGCAAAGGGCAAGAAGTGTGGTCCTGCTGGCGCTGGAATTTTCTTCGAACTTGACTCGCCTTTGAACCAATCACTCGCTGTTCCGGGACCCGAACGGTTGAACGCAGACCTTGCTATCCATGAGGCGATTCAACGTGTTCCGAACGATAAGAGTATCTTGTTGTTCTGCACTTCAAAGATGATTATACGATAACTATGTTACTCCGCAGCAAAAAATATGCAATTAGGGTGGCCAGGAAGAAATGGAGATGTATTCAAATCCATTGTCAGTCTTCTGGCAAACAGGAAGGCCGGCACCCGCTTCGTCCGTGTTGACTCAAAGGCCAACAATGAATCAAAGCATCGTGCATATGTTCTGGCAAAGTCAGCCCTGAGTCTTGTACAGCCTCAGGCGAATTTCTTGCCAACGGTTAGTTGCCTCGCAGACTGTTCATTGTCTGCAGCCACAGATACAGGCACGAGGCGTAAGGTTTTCACGACTTTAGAGGAGAAATCCCCAGTTAAACCCAAGCCTTGGAACACGGGCGAAGATGTTCCGGATAAAGATACGGGCAGAAGCCATCGTGGCCGTGCCAAAGTTCATGCTCTTCAATTTGGTCTAAGGCACCATCGCAGGGCTTTTCTGGCGCCATGGATGCCGTCGAGGTTGAGTGCTGGTGCCGACTTCCAGATCTCAGTAAAAAGGGCCGTAGTTGTTTGAGTGAGGCAGGGTTTGATTTTGGTCCAGGATTGCTGGCTTCGCCTTTTCAGAACGAGAGCGAATATGAGTACGAATTTCGGTGGAGACGGAGGATCTGGCTCAGAAGTCGCGAAGACGTCGAGGCCAAGAGGTGACTTGTGGCTGTGCTCGGCAATCTCTAAACTAATGTTCCTGTCAATCTAACGTCAATCATCTCCAAACAACCTCTTGCTCTCAACCCTCGCCAACTCCGCCGGCCCAGCCCGAATCTCCCATCACATCGGGAGGAACGTCCGGAGTTGGAGTGAGCGTGGAGATATTGTGGCGGCGGGAGTGCGGTTGGATTCGACGAGCTGATAACCCGATCTCCACAGAAGAGATGATCCGGCAGCTTGAGCAGATGATTGCGCCGGGGCAGGGAGCAGAGTTATGGGCCATGTGTGCGTCTCTCAATCATTTCCCCTGTTGTGATACCTGAATTCATACTTTTTCAGGAAATGAGATGCTCACTGAGCAGGACCGAGACAATATTCGTGCATTTCGTCTCAAGCTGATGTCAAATATGTCCTGCGAGCTGTTTGAGCAAGTGCGCTACGCATTCGACCACAAACTCGACCTCAGCTCGGAATATGTGACCATCCACCGTGTCGCGATGTTATCTGGCATCCAGCCTTTATGGTTTCACTGCTGTGTCAATTCCTGCATGGCGTACACCGGCGATGACTTGCATCGCGACACTTTCAGATACTGCAAAGCTCCATGGTATACCCCGCGCTTACACAAGCCTCGGCGACAAACGGTAAAGCTGCTCTTGTACCACCATGAGTACAAGCATGAAGCAGAAACCATTGCCGATGTTTTGAATGCCGCGCACTATCATCACACGTTACGGAAGAAGAACGTGGTCGTCGACAGTGAAACCCGCCCACACAAGCATTTTCTGGAAAATACGACATAGCGCTGGATATCTGCATAGACTCTTACCTGTTATTCAAACGAAACCGCGGTGGCCCATCCGCTACTCCAATTCTCATCAAAAATTACAATTTCCCGCCGGCAATTTCAACACATCTTTCCAATTCAATTTGTAACGGAGTTATTCCTGGTCCTCGCGGCCCCAAGGATGCTCGCAGTTACTCAATCCCATCTATTGTCCTCTTCTGCTTTTGCCGCAAAGAACTATCCGTGCGGGCGAACAACGCTGCACCGCCCGCTTCCCGCCTCGCCTTTGAAAAAGCAAAGGATTGGGGCGAGGGCAATAGAACCACGTGTTTGAAAATGCGAAGGTTTATCTCAATATTATAATAGGGTCTTGCTTTTGGAAATGTAAAGGATTGTGTCAAATCTAATTGGCACAGCACCGGTGTTCCCGGCCCGGACTATTTTGCTAGCGAATCCACGAGGCGAAAGCAAACCCGCAACGCGCAATTTTGTGCCCTGGCCCCAGTTGTTGTTTATACTCCTTCGGGGTCAGCTGGCCAGTTGAATCCTCAAGTCCCATAATTTGATGCACGCAGTACCGAGCTGTGCTTGCTTTCTCATCGTAGTGAGTTAGACGGCTGTTAAATGCATATTAAATACATTCAAATAAAATGATTGTTCCCGAATTTCAACACATCTCTCCCAGAGAGAGGTATCAGTGATTCTGTGCCCAGAAATAATTGTTCTGCAGGGAAAGGGAAATATTTTAAGATTCTGCTTCAATCATTTTGAACTATTGTGCCATGCCATCATTTTATATCATATAAAGTTCTCCATCCAGTGGGTGTAGCTGGAAATGCGACTGACCACATCTTGGGCATGTGTCGGAGTTTGAAATTGCAATGCGTTGCCGATCACCAGTTAAGCGGGATTCGAAGCAGCGTCACTATCATGTAATGTTAGCGCTCTAGCTAACTGAGCTACTAAGCCTTTGATTGAGTTAGGCGGTTAGTCCCTCACACTGTGTGGATGATTAGTCTAGTCTGTAGTTTACCGCGCCACTGATGTATGGAGGGTAGGGTTGTTACATAATCTGCGGAGTTTGAATTTGTTCCCACAGCCCTTCTACGCTTGTAGCTACTCCCCTCGCTAGATTCAAGAGGCAAAGTGCGTTAGAATAGCATTCTAAAGTAAAATGGGCCCATACAACATATATTCTTCCACTATTTTTATTTAAATTACTTTGCTGCTTTTTCGGGTAGCGGCTCGATGTTGATTTATCAAATTTCGGCATCGTTGCTCTTCTACTCTGGCGTTGAGCTGTGGCTGGGGAAGTTATTGATTTTGGGTTACTATACGTCGATACCCACAAATTTTATTGAAATCCAGGTTGCATAAGGCGTTTTGAGAACCGAAAATTTTAAGATTACATAACAAGGTCGGGTACCGATCAAAGATCAAAGGGAATCGACAGACTACAACAAAGCACAAGTACGAGCACTTTTTGTTGTAGTGTCTGTTTATAAGAGACTATGATTAATCACACAACGATGGATGTTAATCACACCGTGTTCGGTTGTCACGCAGACTCCAACAATTTCTCCCAATCCCCGATGTCAGTCAGATGTGAAAAGGCCCTTGAAATGCGGGCACAGGGTTGAATTCTTTAATTGAGCGGAAAGATGCAATCAATTGCACTGCACTCTCCGAGGCAGATGCAGATTGTTGCTGTTTGGCAGCGAGCGAAATGTTTTGAATGCATGGCACAAAAAATCTGAAGAGACAGTTCTGCCAGCCATTCCGAGACGCCCCGAGCGGTGAAATAACTCAAAGTCGCCAACGACCTTCCGGCTGGCCGTCAAATGGACGATTATCTGGCCACCAAGTTTCTGGAGAAAATGGCCGAAAAAGTGGCCGAAAACCTCAAATCGGCCATTGGCCGGCCGAAATTTCGGGCTAAAACGCAGTGGATTTGCCGAGTCTCCCTGCTAAGGATGGATAAAATTATGATTACATTCCACTTAAGGTCCTCAATCCCGCAGTGTTCAGTCAAAAATACTGAAAGTTGTGTCTTGAGGGAAGGAATGGAACCTCTGACCAAAGTGATTGGCGCAGAGTCCTCTCGTTCATGACCAAAACATCACCGAGCGCGGGACACCTGTATACTAATAGAGCATTTATGTTAGGTAGTTAATTCATTTATGTTAAATAGTAAATTTGTTCTGCAATGGCGAAGCTGCTTCTGCCGCCTTGAACGGCCCAATATGTAGGACCTCCAGGGAACTAATATTCATCAAGTTTGGAGCAAACTGAATGCAGCCTTTAGCAGATTTATACAAATCAGGATAGCACATGCAAACCTTGATGCCCACTATACTATCATCAGTTATTGTCACACCACCATACTTGAACAACGCTGACGATACAGTCTCAACGTACGGCAGAGATGAGCTCACCGGCTCCAAAAAAGCTGGGTGTGCAACGACTGTCGGGTACGTCACAGCACATACTGCGCTACATGCTGCAGTGTGCATGTCCTCTTCCATCATACCAACTGCATGACGGTTGAAGTCCAGCACATGTATGCGGCTAGAGGTCTCCTGTCTATTGTCACTCTCGGGGAGCCACACGAATCGCTGTCCATAGGTCATTTTCACTTGACCGAGCAGCGTTGTCCCAGAAGTATCGAACCACCGTGTCATGCCTGGGCCCCATGCCCACCATGGAGTGGTTTGCTCGCGTGTCTCCATCCGGCCAGCCAGGAAGGACAGCAGGGTGCTGCGGTGAAAGAGGAAGCCGAGATCATCGAAGTCCGGGAGGTTGGCATGGTGAGCAATTCCAAGCTGCACAAAGACAATGGAGTCTGCACTATTCGCAGTGTATCGACGACGGTTCCAAAGAGGTACTTTTGGGAGCGAGGTGCTTTCCATGCAGTTGGGCCCCCCCGTACAAATGCATGAGACAATGAAGTAAGGGCTTTGGAGGGTTGGAAGAAGGAGGGAATGGACCATTTTGGCTGTACCGTCTGTCGCGATACGATAAAGGTTCAGACAGTTGTCTTGCCCATTTGCGACGAGTATGGTGTCTGCAGCCAAGAAGGTGATTCCGATGTTGGAAACTGGAACCGGTTCCTAACGGGAGAAATTAGAAGATCTCAATGATAGAAGGGTGGCATTGCGCACCATCCTAACGGTACCGAGCTTCCAATCATAGATATATAGCGTATTCAAAATGGCAAGACAGGCGGTGTCCCCGGCAATATGCATTGTCACTTCAATATCCGGCAGCCCTGGTTGTCCTGCGCCTGGGTGTCCCGCACGTGGAGAAGGGGGTGCGTAGCGAGCGCGTGATGTTTTTGGGTGTCGAAATCCAAGAACAAGATGTCGACCGAGAACCAGGTGGGATCATTTTCGTGCGGAAAGCTACATAAAACGAGTAAGCAAGCGAAGGTAACGGAGAATGGTGTATGATGCACCATGTAACCACCGCCGCGAGATTGTGCTCCTCGATCGCCGTCGCGAAATCCACAACTGGCCTCCCTACTTCGAAATGTGTCCAGTTGTCGACTTGAGCGGCGTCCGGACTCTGAATTCGCGTGTATCTGAGGCTGGTCGACATCGACGTGACCGGATCCGGAACTCCGCCCAAGAAGAACATGTCCGACGCACAATCGTAAATGACCGCAGGGTGTGAGACGGGGATTGCGCGGACATTGGTGCACGTGAAATGTAGCCAGGCGCGCTGGTGATGCGCGAGATACTGGGCGCGGTCCAGTAGATTGTGATTGCGCAAGGAATATCGTGTATCTTCGACTGATGCTCGATTTTTTGCCTTCCAATATCGGAGAACAGGGGTCTGGCAGACAGCGCGCAAGTACCCGTTGGTCTGTTCGCAGTGGCAGATATCCCTGACAGGAAGCTCCCGCAATATCAGGGTGATAAGTTCTAGAGGAAGAAAAAGGAGCATGACGGTAGGGACCAATGGCCAACCATGCAACGTGGCACACAGCATAGCATTGATACGTCATTGGCACAGCTTTTATTTAATTTTAATTTTTTATTTTATACGTCACGTGAAGTCATATCAAAAAGTGACTTTTTGACGGAAAAATCGGTCAATCCGAGGGTTTCATTTAACCGGAAATGGCCTCAGATTGCCGAGGGTTTCGCCGGTTCGGCTTTAATCGATGTTGAAGAAATTTTGATACCTTAAATTCAGCACTAAGATGGAGAGAATGGGAAGCCAACACTGCCCCAGTTTCCGGCACTACCGTATAATTTCGTTCAATTCGACACGGACCCAGAATTATTGGGGACCAACAAAATCTGAGAAACCGAGAAAGAATTATTGTCGCAGCAAAAACAGTCGAGCGTGAAGCTTTTAAGCTCCGCTTTTGGCTCATCAGCATCAGAAATTTGGAAAGAGGATGACGGAGATGCTTGTACCTTTAGAATTCCAATGGTTCGCTTTCCCACCCTAATGCCTCAGATATTGATTTTCAGCATTGTTGTACAAACCCAACTCAGTAAAACATGCCGGAACCAAGAATTTCGGGCTGATCTGGACTGCTAAACTGAGCCATGTCATGAAAACAGGCGCACCAAGCCGAGATTGATGCAGATCACAAATTCCTCATGGGGAACAACAGAGAATATCTTCGCATCAACGGTTCTGAGCCCGAAATCCAAATTGGGCCCACCACGTTGCTGTGCATTGCTTGCTGTTCAATGCGAAAGTGCTCAACTTTTGAAACCGAGTCATTTGGCGAAAAAGGTGTTGCACAGGTTTGGGAGTGAATGGTATTCCCATGCTGAGTTGAACCGTGGGACCCAGACACTCGGCAAATTCGATCAGCCCATAGTGATGACCGCCAACAACGCAGACGTCGTGTTAGCCATCTGCAGATCTGAGTCGAGGTCCGCAGCGACAGAGGGAAATGGCCGCATAAAATCCACGCGTGCGAGGCCACAAGCACGAGTCTCGAACAGAACGCGTGTAGAGTGAGGAATGATGAGGAAATATTGAACCGACGAGCATGAATCCAAAGAACACTTGCAATGGCCGGCATAATCGAGAGTGGAGAAAGGAAGGTAGTGTGGACCATGTTCGTCCTCGACGTGTACTGCTCGCAAAATCCCGTCCTCCAAGATAATCCTCCAGCAGCGGAAATAATGGAAAGTGGGGAGAGAGGAGAGAGGAAGGTAGTGTGGACCGTGGGAATGATCCATTCTGCGTGTTGGTCGTCCCTACTGCATACTGCTCGCGAAATTTCGAAATTTTCCCGGATAATTGCTTCAGCGGTACAAGCAGCGGTATATCCCCCCCACCAGTGTTGTCAATGACCCGTCAGTGACGGGTCACCGACCTTGATCGACGGGTCAATGACTTTGATCGACCAGGTCGATCAAAGGTCACTGATAAGCGAAAGTGTGCCGTGCTACCGCGAGAGAACGAACCGGATTCTGTATCCGCCGCCTGGGCTGATACAGAATACGGGTGTGGGGGAAGAGCCCTTTGGGCTCCGCCGCTCGGCTGCTTGGCGCACGGGGGCACCACGAGCAGGACGCGTTCGCTGCGCCTGCAGCTCCGAACGGGGAGAAGGCTCTGAGCGCGCGGACCAGCTCCGAAGAGGGATTTGGGAGCTGGGGTGGTGCGGTACGCGCAAACCACTCTAACCGTGCACTAGAAATGAGAAATGAGGGTGAGCGGGCAAAAGAACGAGACGGGATTCGGCTAGCGAGCGCGCAGGAAGAGTGACGGTGTCACTCTGCGTCACGCTAGCCGAACCTTACACTACTTTGCTTATCCTACGATACACTCAAGCTGCTCGTGCCTCACGTCGAGTGTATCTTGGAACTGTGTTCGCCAAAGAGCCAAAGTGTGGGAATTTTTCGTCAAATTTTGGAAAAATCGGTCATTTCAAGGGTTTCAAATGGCCGGAAATGGCCTCAGATTGCCGAGGGTTTCGCCGGTCGGCATCTTCGGTTTTA